CCAGATCAACGTTTTGGCGAGGTTTTGATGAACAAAAAAATTAATGTTTGGGAGATTCTGCTGTCTAATAAACAGAGAATTCGGTTGCTGAAATATCGTCGTCAATTTCGACAATTTGTGGGTTCGGTATGTTCTGATTTTCTGCTGTCGTCGTTGTATCAATTGGAAAGTCAGGGTATTGAAAAGGTATAGCTGAGGGTACTAAGTTCGGTCTTTCCGGTCCAGCCATAACTGATGATGAAGCAAAAACGACAGCAATGGGGCACTCCATTGATAGTCCGACAAAAAAAATGAATTCAATCTAAACCCAAATTTTTTTAAAATCTATTGTGGTTATCCGACGGAACATTTTTGATGTCCACATTTTTGGCTTTGGAGATATAAATGTCAGCGATTAACCTTACTCGTCATACTTCTTTGTGCAGAGAACCACCCACGATCCATTCCCATAATGGCTTTGGTCTGAGGTATTGAATGGTTGAAAAAAAAACAGTTTTCTCCTAAATAACCAGTTGACCTTTCATTAATTTTAGAGCTCTTGGGTTGGTCTCTTGTCTTCATTCCAATTGACTTTGTTGTCATGGATGAGTTTGATGAAATTTTTTTCCTTGTTGCTTTGTCCGTAGGGAGTATCGCCAAGCCCTCTGTGTTCTTGAATTCATGCCTCGCCTTTTTCCGTGCCTACTTCGTACAGGCTAATAAAACTGGGAACTCTAACGCTTCCATTAAAAATTAATATGAGTTTTGCTCGTAATATTGAGGATTGCAATTTGCGATTTGTGTACAGTTGCTACATTTGATTATTTTGACAAATACATAAATTGTCCACTTTTCTCCCCCAAAAGTTCACTAGTCATTTTCTCGGAGTTGATCTAAAGATGTCCATAATCCATTGTATAAAGCATCAACTTTAGTGTTTTTTCCCTTTCACGTCGAAAGGAGTGCTCTCGGTAGAATTAACAGTTTCTGCCTTTAATTTCCAAACGCTTATGGAAAGTTTTGAGCATTCCAGCGGGCTTAGGAGGTTCGCTATCTCGGTGTTTTCTTCAGCTATCACTGCCCATTAAAACATATACTTCCAGTCTTCCCTCTAAGTTAGAGGGCCCATTGCATGGTTTTACCGGAATGAAGAGACTCCCTTTATGCCAGTTTTGTTAATCATTGACTGTGCCATAATAAAAAACGTCTAATGACGTTTCTAAACTAAACTTAATTCATTAATGGTAGTTTAATAGATTGAATTTAAAGAGTATGTTTGTTTCAACAACTTGAAATACATCAAGGCTGCTCACTTCAAAAGAGTTTGCTACACAAAATGAAGACCAGACATGAAACGTTAAGTAATTAGATTCAAGATTTAAATGTCAATCACTCACAATCATCTAATTTTTAAACCATAAAAAAACCAGTTTGCTTTCAAAAAATAAATTATTTTTCCTGATTGCAATATAATTAAACTATGTTTAGGCATCACCATATTTGGTCATAAATAGTCATTGAATAAGGCTAGTCACCAAACCAGGCTGAGGTTACAAAGTGTGGAATACAAATGATAAATCTTATTTTTTGAAATGAACATGATTGAATACTTTGTTTCCAAGATAGATGACCTTGCTTTTCTTTTTCTTTAGATGCCAACTTGCTCTTCTTTTGCGCTAGGATCAGTCATTTGGTCCGTCATCAGACTAAAAACAAACCGTTTTATTTGTTTTCTACCGGAAATACAATGTTTTTCATTTCGGAGAAAGCAGGGAATTTTGTCCTTATGGATTTTCGCTGCTCTTCAAAACAGCTGTTTGATTTCGTAAATACAATGGGCTGAACAGATTCCAATTTTAAGTTTAATTGGTCATCAAATCGGTATTTTGTGAAGTTTGGGGAAGTTTCATCTATGAAACTTCGAAACGTAAGAAGAATCACGATTAACTGTTTTCATTCATTTTGGTTAAAAAAAAAGACAATTACACGGAGGAAACTAATGCTATAACCACATAAATGATAAAATGGGTTCAAAACTAGGATAAATTTTAAAGCCCAAACTCCTTTTTTGATAAAAATTCAAATTTTGGGAAACCTTCTTACCAATTTATGAGCTGGTGTAATTCAGAATTGATAAATTGTATTATTTTACAGCCTCTCGACAAATGAAATATTTCACTACCTCAATCATGATCACAAACTAATCAATTAAAAAATATAGTATCAGGTTGAGTCAATTTAAACAAACATATCTCGACAACTCAGACTCATCTGCCATAAAATTGTTTTTGTTCTTCTGATTACTTTCAAATAGCCACTTGAAAAAATTGTGTCTTACAGGGGTGGATTCAGGGGGCATTCGACCCCATGCCGACCCAAAGGGTCCCCCTTTTGTACTCTTTTGAGATATCCATTTTTCTTGACCTTTCAATTCGCTTGACCTAAACAAAAGGCCGACAAAATTTTCCATTTTTTGATAATCCCCCCCCACCCTCTCGAAAAAAGCCTGGATCCGCCCCTGGTGTCTTATAGTCAAATATGCGCAAATTTTTTTTCAAATGTGCAAGCTTCAATATTTTATCCTCGCTTGTCGTGATAGTTTGCCATAGATGCCATAGATGAAACACGGAAAGGCCATAACAAATAATGAAACACTAACACTGCAGTCAAAAATCAAGTTCCACTCCACAGTTGCCGATTACTCAGGGTGCAAAAAAGTACCCGCACTCAGTAACAAGAGCTGATAATCGGTTGTATGCTACATTTGTGGTATGTCTCTCAAAAATTCGTAAATAAGTCTAAAGTAATTCAAACCATTTTAGTTGATTGTAATCGAATAAAATTGGTTATAACCCAAAATTCGGTTCAATAAATTTCAAACTATTCTTTTCAATTATAAGCGATTGGAGCTCGAGGTTCTGTAAAAAACTAGAAAATAAATTTCGAGAAAAATTCAATGGTCGGACTTTCATTTGTCTGCTTTGGTTTTGTCGGCTTGGAATTTCATTTGTCTGCCTGTGCTTTGTCGGCTTGGACTTTCATTTGTCTGCTTGTGTTTTGTCAACTTAGTTGCCACATCACGGATTTTTTGTACTGTAAGCAATTTCCAGTAACATTGCAAATATTGTTGATTTACTCCTGTTTTTCGTAAAATTACTAGCCCTGACTTAGTTCATTTTCCTTTTTTCGCTTAAAAACTGTGTTCGGCCTATTATTTTTCGGCTTGTTTTATCCGACCAGTCTACTTATTTTGTGTTGCTTGAAAAACGAAAATTGACTTTGATGGGCAATTTTTGTCTACCAAGGTATTGTCAGCTTAGTGGGTGCTCGGTAAACATTGAAAGCTTATTTAATGCTAGTAGTGGTTGCGTGCTTAGCCTCCGTGTTTTATTGATTTTTTTCTCTTCTCTTAACTGAGTGCGGGTGATATTAAGACAGACATACTTTACAGTTCAAAAGACCAACTCGGGTATCAACTTATTTTTTTAAAAATAATAAGAGAAACTTTTGATGAAGAAAATTTAAGATGGCCAAAGTTGAACTAAAACTTCAATTGAAAAAAAAAATGTGCAAAATTGTTTTCGTGGGTTGTTTTGTTCAGAAAGAATGTCGAATAGGTCTTTTAAATTGAAAAGGCTTGTTATAAAAGTGAAATCCTCTATTTTTATTTACTCATTCGATTTTCACGATTCAGAATTTTTGAACATGTACTCCAGAAGAGACTGTTTCAGGCTCACCAACCGGAACTGATCGTGGAAGCTCATTTTCCTACAAAATTATGCAATTTGCTCATCAATCATTTAAAAAATCTTACTAAATTTAGAACAATTTATACTTCCAATAATTTGTAGTTTTTTTCTAAATAATTTAATCAAGTTCTAAGAGCCAAGAATATTATCACGTTGATATTATTAAAAGCCACATAACTTTACGAAATTGGTAGCGAGAGACCAAGTTAACATAATCCCCCACCCCCCTCCCAGTGCTGTTTGGGAGGGGGAGGGGAGGATGTAAATTTGGTTCTAAGATAAGAATTTTCAGCCCATCAGAATCGAGCATTTTAAATGCAGCGCTTAGCAAATTTAATGCAAATTAAATGCTAAGATCTTAACTTGGTCTATCTGGGGGGAGGATGTTAACTTGATCCAAAGCGAATTTTCAGGCTTAATTAGTTACTTTGACTGATATAAGATAGATGGCTATCTATATCCCGATAACCTGTCCGTTTGAAGCCATTGACCGATATGAGTGAGTGAACAAACTATTTCATTCACGTTTTCTCGTACGTAATTCCAACGGAAAAAGACCGGAAGTAGTTTCTATCTTTCATTTAAGATCATCTTTCCACTAGGGAAATTGCCTATATACGAGCTTATTTTCAGTTATTTAAGCGGAAGAGGGTTTGTGTGCCCCTCAAAAAGAACCATTTGCATTTGCAGAACCATTTTTTCATTTTTTTCTGCGATGGGAAAAACTGAATTTCCCTCAAGTAACTGGCATAGAGTATCTAGACGTGACTCGAAGTAATTAATATACTTACTTACTAAAAAGACCTAAAAATGTTTTTGTTCAAATTTATATACTAATCAAATACTGAAGAAGGCTAAGTATCCTCATCATTAACTTTCGAATTCATGAACAAAGCCAATTGACAGATGGAAGAGAGTAATGAACGCAATGAAACAGAAAAAAACTGGCGTGTTTTTGAGGAAAACTTAAACTTGCGAATTTTAAAGAAAAACATGCGCCCTCCCGTATTGAAAAAAAATGCCTATCATGCAATTTTATACTATGTCAAACCGCGGAAAATCAAAATTGTATGTGAAAAAGTTATGAGACTTTTTTCTGAAAAAAAAACAAAAGAAATTACCATAAGACCTATATACAAGTACTGACTACGTTCATGACTTTTGCTCAAAATGCAATTATCGCATATATAGTTTAGCAATACATTCTTTTATATCGGCCATGAGTAATTCATTCATTTTGACGTGAAATTGATTTCCTGTAGAAACTTTTTTTTGTCGAATCTTTTGTTTCAAACAGCAATCAATCAAATTGACTTCCAATAAAAAGATTGATAGCAGAGTGAAATTGAAATCTGTAGTCTATTAACTAAGCATCTGCCGCTTTGTGTTCTGAGCGCCAAATATAAGATTTTTTTTCTAAAGATATTAGTTAATTAATAGTTTTTTTTCGACAGTTTTTTTTCAAACTTTTATTAAATGAAGGGATATGTAGTAGTCGGGTAATGTGATAGAAATGAGGTTATGAACAAGTTAATTGCTTGATTTCAATCAACGGTCACTTTCTGACAGTTTCGTCATCAAGTGAAACTAATCCTGAATTTCAGTCCAGATTTTTTCCTGAATTAGAGAAAGCTCAATTTCAAACTCCATTTTATGAATCCAACTAGAAAAAAGTTTTCAGTCTTAAATAAATATCAAGTTGAATCTATGAGAGTTATTTATGTGACTTACAGCACACTTTTCTAAATATGACACTGGATAGTTGTTTTCGGTTCTTGTTTTCAAATTATATTTCTCAGCTTACGACCAAAATGAAAAAAAAAATTTTTGATTAGGTTAGCTTACCTTTTCTGGAATGTGCGATAAGGCTTGTCTGGCTAAGAAGCGTTCTCGTTTAATCTTCAGGTCCAGATCTTCTGGGATGTCCGGCACAAAAACATCAATGGCAACTCCGACCATGAACACGAAATGCTGTAACCGAAATGAAGAAAAGGTTGAATTTTTTTGAAATTTAATATAGATCAAGGAGAGACATTTGTTGTACAATTAGCACAGAAAGTTACGATGACAAAAGTAACTAAAAAAGTTTGAATTATTTTCAAATTGTGTCCCATTTTCTCGTTATAGGCTGAAAAGATCTTAAAAGCTTGGAATTTAGGCAGATTGGACAATTTACTTTAGTATAGTCGACAACTGTTTTCTATAAAACAAGAATTTTTAGAAAAAAAAACATTAAAAAATCTGAAATGATCCAATTTCCATGAAAAAATCCTTATTCGCAAAAAAGGCCTGAGCAAAATTTTGAAACATAATTTTAGTCAAGTTAAACAAATTTTTCACAGCTGAAGTTAACTTATAAATTGACACGCATATTATAAGCGCGCTCGCTCGCTCACTTTTTTGTATGAAATTAGACAAAAAATCAATTTTCAAACTAATTTTTCTCAACATTAAGCAAACTTTTTGGAATTTTGATGCGAACATTCAAACCGCAGTTAAAAGGGCTTTAGTATACTGAAATTCGATGAATACATGTGGTAGCTGAGTTTGTGTGGAAAAAAATAATCTTGATCGTAACAACAACAGCAGTCGGTTGCTGTGCATGGATTTAAAAAAATTCTAGCAAAATTAAAACAAAAAATTTTTTCTTCATTGTTATGCCATTTTTGAGCGCGCTGTGATGCAAGGAAAAAATGGATTGCAATTTAACGATAACTGACCACAATTGTCTTCAAAAATTAATAACAACAGAAAAGTTTTATTTTATTGCTACTCGAAATTTTTTTCTATCCCTTTTCTAAATAAGGAAAAGGTATATGAAGCTCTCTGTAGTAAAACAAATTTGTTCACAGTATAAATGACTAAAATTCAACTAACAAACGTTTTTTTGCTCAACTCACCCAAAACAAGACCAAATTAAGTTAAATTTGCAAAGTTCTCGAAACACGATTGTCTCAACAAGGAGTGAAATGTTGCAATATTTTTATTGTCGATCGAATTACGACTTGAAGGGTTTTCATACGATATACCACTCGACTCATGATTTTTTTGGTACCTAATATTGCGTTGTAAATTATGTTGAAAAACAAGAACACAAGTGAAAACTCTGTGGTCGGAAAAAAAAATCTACGGTTGATCCGACAGTTGAAAGTGAGGAGTAATTTTGATTTGGGTTGTGTTTTTTTTGGGTTTTGTTGTACTGTTTCCCAAGCAAAATCAAGTAACACAAAAAATCATTGGAATGAGCTGAGTGATATATCGTATCTATGTTTTCAGTCGTGATTTGAACGACAATTCCAAATATTTTTTTCTGCGTCGGTACAAAAACAGGTCTGAAACAGGTCTTATGTTTTTCAATCCACTTTCAAGCGAATAAACGAATAAAACAATTAAATTGTTTGATTTTTTCCTCACATTAAAAGAAAAAGTTGCCAAAATTGCCTAATTTACTTTTCCTCTCGATTTTTTTTTTGATTTTTTTTCAGATCCTCTCGCCACCTACGAAAAAAGAACGATACAACTAAAGAAAATTCGTTTTTGATAGTTTTCATAAATGCTGGTGGTCAAATATTTCTGTGATACATGCACGACAACCATGTACTCTTGTTAAAATTTATATTTCACTTGGTTTGCTGATTTTAACCACCTGTAGACAGTTGTTTTCAATTATTTTTGTTGTTTTCAGTTGATTGCAATCAACAAACTAAGTCAAATCTAAACGTTAAAAACAGTACACTGTTGCTGTGCAATGTGTCACAAAAATAGTTGAAGAAAATTGAAGATCAAAAAAGCTTGAGGAATTTTGTCTGTAAAGTGAGCTAAGTCTATAATTTAATTTAAATAGTTTTGATAAAAACCGAAATTTTGTTTTTACCTCAAACATGATCATGAATGCGAGTTTGATTGCTAGGATTTTCCAGAAGTTGATTGTCAGTTCACCGTTGGAGTCGCGAAATCCCTTGTAACTGAAACAAAATCACCGATTTTAGTGATACTGCAAGTTTTTTATTAGATTTTTTCATATCCCAAAAAATCTCCTTCTGTTTACCTTCCGACTTAGTAGACAAAATACCATGAGTCACAGTAGAACATTTAGAGGGAGCGGACAAGAGTCCCCCCCTCCCAGGGATTCGACCCTCTGCCCCATCTAATATAGTCTTTAGCCCCTCATTTAATTCATCTAATATAGAAATATATAGATGGATTAAAACCCCCTCCGCCCTCCTTGTGTTTGTTTTCTTTGCAAAAAGTGATCAAGCTATATAACTTGAGCAGTTCTCAAAAAAGATTTGGTTGATCTAGAAATAGGCTCACAAACTTTCTAAGAAATTTTTGCGTCACGCACTTAATATGTCAGATTGTCTAATATTAGATTATAGACAGAGGCTGATATAGGGAAGAGCGCCGTGGCGTTGCGGTTGAGAGAAGCGGACACCATCCTTTGTGACAGATTCCCCTCAAAGATTCGATTCCTATAGCCCCCAAAGGGTCCCTATGATACGTTTAATTTGCCGCCAACTGGATCTTTCGTATACAAAAGCAATACATAGTAATATCGATGCATATGCATAAGAATTTTGCACACGCCACACTGAACACAATTTTTTGGTTAAGAATTTCCAAAAAGGTATCACAAACAACATTTTTGGACTGTTTTTGTTTCTTCAAAAAAGGTTTAAAATCACATTTGATTGTAAGAAAACTTCATTTATAGCCTAGTCCGTTTAGGGGGAGGGGGCAATCTTTATCCTGCATGAGTGCGGTATTGTTGTACCTGCATCCAGCTGACTCCGGGTGTTTCTGGTCGAACTCGGTGGGGGCGACGGAGAGCGTGAAGTTCACATATCCTTCCAGGTCACTCTCCATTGTGTACGAGTAGAACGTCTTCTCCATAAAGTCACTCGTGAACGCTATCAGAAAGGCCTGCAAGCACAAGGTGTTTCTAGATTTGGATCAGATCTACTTAGCAATCGCCCTCCCTTTGGTATCTACTAAAGAATTGCCACCCCTATATGAATAAAAGCTGTAAATTAACACTCGAGCATTCTATCGAGATTTTGCTACATTCTGATTGGTCGAAAATTAGACTTACTTAACCTACTTAACAATTGCTACCCCGTTCTTGGGGTGGTAATTCTTTGGTTATAGGAGGGGGGGGGGGGGGGGGGGGGGTTGGGGGTTGTTAAGTAGATCCCTAAATTTTGTTAGTTTTTTTTGACATATGGAAGATTGAATTGAATTGTTGTTAAAAAAGTTGTCATCGACAAGTTTGAAAAATTAAATTCAACTTACATTGGTAATTACGGCGATTCTTGATATTGCGGCTAATATCTCATACCAGATTCCTGAAAAAAAAAACAATTAATAAATTACGCAAATCGAGAATCGCCTGACTTAACAAGTGGCAAAACATCTGCAAATTCGACTTTTTTCGAGTTTTCGAGCTTTTTCGGCCATCTGAGCACAAATTAGTGGATATGGCATACCTATGTTATTGGCTCTTTCGGCGACTGCGCGTCTCACTTGGCAGACGTACTTGTTAGCATCCACTCTAATCTCAAGCCAGTTGTTGAGGAGGGCGAAGAGGGGAGCCAGAGGGAAGGCACACACGAAGATGGTGATGAAGCCGAACTGCAGCACTGAACACACAGAAAAGATGCAAATTTCTTCAGAAAAGCAAATTTCTTCCAAATTGTTGCAGTTAAACACAATTTATCAGCTATTTTTTTTGCTGACATTTATTTCTTGCAGAAGCGAATTCTTTTCTTCTACTTTCTTTCTATTAAAAACCGTTCAAAAACAGCTTTTTATTTTCAAAAAATATTCAAAAATCGATCAAGAACTGTTCAAAATCCGCTCCTCTTAGAACAACTGCTAACAAAGCAGTACAAAAACAGCCAAAAACTGCCAAAATCAGTACAAACCCATTTCCAGATATTCTTCAAACAGTCCCTCGTTCTCCGGCAACATGTAATCCTCCTCCAGCCTGGCCGTTTTCACATTCGCACCCGCCCCACTTGTCTCAGCTGTCCCTCCCCCTGGTTGGGTGGTGGAGGTGGAGTCCACCCCCTCTTTGTTCAACATGCTCTGGGGATTGCCGTTCGTCCCGCCCCGTCTGCCTAATGTAGTTCTCCACCTCATCTTCATCCATTTGTTCCACCACTTTTTCACCATGCTGAAGATCACAACGAGCTGATAGCCATTTTTCACTATGGTCATTATAGCACAGTAGCTTATTGATGCCCAAACCACCATAATGTAGCCATAAACTAAATGATTAAAAATAATTTAAAAAAATTGAACGAAAAATATCAAAAAAAACTTCGGAAAAATAAATATGATACTTTGTTTTATTCAAAGATTCAATTAATCGTCAATGCACCAGCTGATTTAAGGGGGAGGGGTGGGGCGGACGCCTTCTATCAGGGATTCGACCCCCTGCCGACCCCTGCCTGTATAAACCCCCAAATATTCTCTTTGTACTATTTTGAGATATCCATTTTTGGCGCTGACGGACCTTAAAATTTTCCTTTAGGCGCCTGTCACAAAATAAAAACGTAGAATTATTTTGACTGGATTGCTAGATTGTCTAGACGTTCCAAAAAGTGCCTAAAAAGCCTTTTTGGCCTGTTTGTTTTTTTGAAAATTTGGCCAAAACAGGGTATTTTTAGTGCTTTGGGAGAGCTCGGAAAATCAATTTGGTCGACCTAAGGAAAAGTTCGATAAAATTTTTGACAATTTTTTGATAATCCCCCATCTCGAGCAAATCCTAGATCCTAAATTATTGCGTTTTGTTTTTCTGGATTTAGGTTAGGTAGGCTATCGAGATTAGGTAGTTTAGGTAGGCTATCGAGATGTTGGTAGGCTATCGAGAAGTTTAGGTAGGCTATCGAGATGTTGTGTGTTCTTTTTATTAATTTTCCACGAAGATTGCGTTTATTAAGTTCATCCTTTTCTGTTAATGTTTTTCCCCAAAAAATACATGTTTTGAATGAACAGTCACATCAGGCAATATTTTTAGGTAGCAGGCAACAAAATCACTCACGGGAGCCCAATTTCCATGGTGTTGTTTATGATTTGTTTGCCGACCATGATGACAGCCAGCTGAGTGGCCATCTCCATGAGACAGTCTCCATTGGGACAGTCCTCCAGCCGGATATCAAATATCCTCCCATAGTGCCCAGGGTACCCCGTGAACCTGAGTGACAGAAAATAATCTAAGAATCAAATAATTAGGACAGAATGTTGCGACCAGTTTATGTGCCAAAAACTATATAAAAAAATGAATTTTATTTTTTTTCAAATTTTTCTGACTGACATGAAACAAAGCATAAAATTTTTGACTGACGCATCAATTTTTGTTAACATATCAAAAAAAAAAATCTGAAAAAACAGCAACTTTATTCATTTTTTTAAATTTGCCATGAAAAAAAACGCCTTCAATTTTTGAAGAAATTGTCCAGACGAGTTAAACATAAAATACGTCGAAAAATAAGGTCAATACATTTTTCAAATATTTTTCTGAAAGTTCACCTCCCCCCCCCCCCCCCCCCCCCCCGAAAATTTCAGATCGGCGCCTGTTTGAGCGGTATTTTGGTGTGCATGTGTGTTGCATACTATACTCACTTGCCCTTGAAGAATGCGATGTATATGATGGAAGAGTAGTAGTTGATGAATTGGAACACGAACACTTTGAAGGTGAGGTTGTTGTCGTACTCCTCCTGAGTTCTGTGCATCTCCCAGTCGTTGAACCGCTCGGCCACGAACTCATACACCTAATCAAAATCAGTTGAAAACTTCCAAATTTCCGAACCATGCGACTACCCCTTCCGACCTGACGTATAAATCCCCACCGTCTTAACGAACGTAAAACCCGCATCTGACGCTTCAGCCTCCTCCCTCCAACTATGGAGACCATATTATTTATAATCGTCATACAGTCAAATAGGCGCCACCTTCAAAAATAATTTAAGATTCTGCTGATAACAAGGGGCTGGGCGCTTACACGTTTCTGAACAATTTCTTGGTTTTTCAGTGGATCGAATAAAGAGAGCAAAAAACAAAGGGTTAAGATATACAATGAATATGATCAGGGGCGGATTTAGGGGGGGGGGGGTGTCGGACGCCGTCTTTTAGGGATTCGACCCCCTGCTGACCCAAAGGGTTTCCCCTTTGTACTATTTTGAGATATCTATATTTGGTGACGGACCTTAAAAACTTTCTAAAAGCGCCCTTAGCGCCAATATATACTAACTTTGAGGGGGGAGCGTGCGCCGAAAAAGCGCAATTTTTTGGTCAAAGTTTTTCAAAAAGCGCCTTTTAAGAATGTCTTTTTGGCCTGTTTTTTCAAAATTTTGGCTGAAGGTCAGAAAATGTGATCGTAACGGTCTTTTTAATGCTTTGGGAAAGCTCGAAAAATCTATATGGTCGACCTAGAAGAAAAAGTCGACGAAATTTTTGAACATTTTTGAAAATCCGCCATCACCCCCTCAAGAAAATCCTAGACACGCCCCTGAATATGATTGAAATCGATAGTATGAAAAAACTGAAAGTACGATAGTATTGAAATTGAAATGATATTATGTCCACAGATAATTTCGACAACAGAAAAATTTAACGAGGCAAAAGTATGCACTGAAAATAAATCCGACCCCGGCGCTTTGGAGAAACTTTTTTTTCTGCAAAAATGGAAGGCACGTGAAATGCGATACCTAGAATACGAATCCCTAAATACGAACTCCTCCCAGTTTCAATCAACTGAGGGTCAAAAATCTCACTACAGTGCCTAATTATTAATTTTTGGTTCTGATTAAGTTACTTTTTTCTGCTTCATATGTGATACGATACATTTGAATTATTTCATGAATGATCAATATGATTACGTCTCAAATGGCATAATTCCCAAATGGCATAAAAATGAAATATTTCCCAAATGGCATAAATTTCATGCAACAGTTGCTTTGGAAAAATCGAGAACAATTTTTTCGTGAACAATGTGAGAAAATTAGTCAAATTGTCAATTCAAATGTTGATTGACATTTTATCGTGAAAAACTTGTAGAACTTTTTATCAAAAGCAAGAAGCATAACCTTGCGGTTATTAATAAGCTTCTTGTGGTCAAATTTTTTCGGCAAACCTGTGGCTTAAATTTGTTTGGAAGCAATTAATTCCAAATCTTGTTCACATGCTTTCGTTCCTGACAAAATGTTAGAGTTAGAAACTGATAGAAAACGTTTAAATTACAATGAAAACTTGAAATTTATGCCATTTGGGAAAAGTTTCCATTTTTATGCCATTTGGGAATTATGCCATTTGGGAAGTTACCATCAATATCCTTACCAAAGAAAAGGTTAATTTAAACCTAAATTTCTTATGAGTTCCTTGGTTACCTGAGCGGAGAGCATGATGAGGATGACCTGTATGGCTGCTCCTGAGGCACTGGCGATGAGGGAAGCCTGAGATCTGAACAGGTCCGTGCTCAGCAGAGGAATCACAATCAGACTCCGGTAGATCACCACTCCCGCCACAAAAATGATCACCACCATGATCTAAACAAACCAATGATTTTTTACTCTGAGCAAGAACTTTTGCTCGAACCAAGGGAAGACCTTCTCAATTCAAAAAACCATTTTATGATCGTACACTCCAATATTTAAACTAGATTATAATGTCCCACGACAGCGTGTGAACAATGGTAGTTTTTAGTGAATAAAAATTCCAACTTATAAAAAACAAAAAAGAAGCACATCATTTATTTAAAATTATAGATTAAAAATGAAGAGTGTTTACATTACCAAAACAAAAAAACTGGAATAATCTAATAACCTTATATTAAAAAGAATGAAAAAAAAACATCGTTATTTGTCAGATAAACTTGAAAATATTCCAGGTAATCTTTCCATAGGCTGCCACTGTAAAACTTATGCAAAAAACACCTTAGTGTTTTAAATGCAGAGCATTCTCAAGTTTATTGTTGTTAAATGTTGTTCCACGTTAGTACAACTTTCATTAAAAAACGATTTTTCAAAAAATTTAGTGTTAGATTGCTGTTTGAATACAAGTTTTTTGTATCAAAACCATCAAATCACTGCATTCAATCATCAAATGACTTATTGGTTGGTTTAGACAACCTAAATTGAAACTAGCAGATAACAAGTTCTTTCAAAGTTTGCAGAAAGACCATGACATTTTTCAGTCTAAAAAATAAACCGTTTAATTTTAAAACTTACTTTCACATTGAGGAAGATAGTTTTGAAGACGATTACAGCAAGCTTTTACAGCCCAACTTAATTGATTTTAAGTTAATTTTCTAAATGACTGGTTAATATTTTGAGTATGGCCGAACAGCGCAAGTGGCTCAGGACGAGGGCATTCAAAAATCATCACCTTTATATAGAACTAAATCAATGGTTAAAAAAATGGAACAGTTCAAATTTTCAAAAGTTGCCGTAGAAATTTCTTGATTGAAATCATTCTCAATTAGAATTATGTTGATAAAGAAAAGACACCATAGCGTTTTAATTTGAAGTGTTTTGATGTTAAAGAATAAAAAAAAATTGTTCGGAACATCTCCTTAAGCAATTTGTTGTCTCCAAATACCCAATTTATTAAATGATAAAAAAAAATTTATGATTGATTTGTGTAGAACTGATAGAATTGATTGGGCTAAAGTTTGAAGTTTTTGTCTACAAGCAAAGTTCTGTTGCAATTATAAGGTTGAGGTTGCGGTTTATTTAGGTTCTCAGTTTAGCCGAAAAACAGAATGCGGGTAATGATAGACTGGGATTCAATTTTAACCCGTGTTCTCCTATTGGGATTTCACTCCATTATTTGTTCGCGTGACCAAAAAAGATATGTTAGCGAGATTTATGTTGGCAACGTTTTCTTTTTAATGCAAATTAGCTGCAACAATCAGTCTGTGTGTCGGGTTAGGTTGTTTCCTGGCTGATTTTTTTATTTTCTGATATAATGGAGAGCTTCTGCTCCTCATGCCTTCAGCTCTGCCAAATCTCCAGATTACTTGAAATTATATCGCCCCAGAAGTGATCAGTTTTTTTGGTCTTTTTCAGATATCTATACTTACTGCAGCGTCAGTGTGTTGCATTTTTTTTCACGCGTTTTGCAAAATTTCTGGTTGCCAACAATAGTTACAGTTTGCCTTGCCTGAGAGGTTTCCCATCAAAATATTTCATTAGTGATTTTTCATTTAGTTCAATCATGAGACAATGAAATGAATTGATTGGCATTTACTTTCAATTTAACACATGATTTTGTTCCAACTTTCGAAGACTTTCGATTTAAATTTTTTTGAAAGTTTCATCAAAATCTTTTCAAGCGAACACAACCCCATAGATCTTAAAGGGCAGTCGCAACATTCCGGGCAACCTTGTTCCAATTTATTATCTTGTCTTCGTGTTGTTCGTTATAAGTGCGATTCTCATGACTTTAGATTTATATCTGATTCTGTCTCAGCCATATGCTTCCTTATCATTCGTAGATCTTTTGAACTGGCGTGTGATGCTATGGCATGGGCAGTTTCGGTACATGATCTTTTTACATGGTATTTTTTGACAGGGCGTCAAGGAGGTTTTAGTAATTACAATTTTTTGTCTAACGCCTAAGATCAAATATGAGAGTTTGAAAATGCAGGCAATCCACGGATGCAGGCAAATATCATAGAAAATGATGGCAAAATTGAGAAAACGAATTTAAAAATAGGGAATGCGAGGCGCTTAAAATTCCATTAGCCTGTAACGATTGCTTGTTCCGTTTCGCTTCGCCATGTGCTTACATTCGACATGAGAAGTGATAATACGCTTAAATCAGAAAATGCCGACAATCTATATTGCTCTGAGAAAAAAATAAACTAAAAATAGACCTGGATTCTTAATTTAAAAAATCTCAGCTTCTAATTTTTATCTATTGGAATAAAGGTCTCAGTTTTCCACATTGTATTTTTCAGACTCAATTACATGTTAACTTTTTCAAGTTGCCATATGATTATGAATCACTTCTGCAATCTGTTTGATGTATTCCTAGGCAATCAAAAACTTACAAACTTCCTATCCAAAATTCTTCCACATCTTTGTTCGATACTAATAAATCATCTGCAAATTTTTTTGCATAATAATTTAAAGAGAATAAACTAACAGAACTTGTAAATTCGATTCTTACTAAAAGTCGATTTTGAGGATCTTTGATGTTATTTTAAAACACTTTTTTGGAATGCTCATCCTTAAAGGCTATTAAGTATACATACCATCATGAATAGAACAGATATGCCTGAGATCATGCGAGCGGTTCTGACTCTCTCCGGGAAGTATGGCTCCAGTTGGTTCGTGATCGGATTCTTCCGCATCTCAGTCGACAAGGCCGCATACTGGGGGCGGGGGTTTTCCTGAAATAATGATGAACAATAAATAAAGATAGTATTTTTTCTTTTTTCGTTTTTCATGTTTCCTGCCGATATATTTTGCTGTCATATTTACCTTCGTTTTAAAGAATATATGTACCATCCTATTGTAAATCCTCAAATTGTTGCGTGAAAAAATTCACGTTTATAAACTCGGTTGTTTTATTGAACAAAAATATTATTTTTTAAAGCCTAAAAAGGGAGCGGGGGAATATCTGAAAAACACTAATGGTAACTTTGATCTTGAATTGATTTATTTCTGTTAGTAAAAAACTAAATTATACAATACAAAAATTATGGAACGAATTGAACGCATCAACGACTTTATTGAATTTTACAACTCTTCAAGAGAAGCCCTCCAAGCATGATGATAATATACTGGGTGCTAGGCAAATAAGGCGACAGTACATTAAGGCGACAGGACCTTAAGGCGACAAATAAGCACTATTACATGTGAAATGAGCAGTATATTTTTCAGAAAGACAATTTGGCGAATTGCGTTTAGCGTCGTCTTAAAGTCCCATGAAAAACGGTTGTCGCCTTAACGGCTGTCGGCTTAACGGCTGTCGCCTTAACGGCTGTCGCCTTATTTGCCGGTCACCGAGATACTGACTTCTAGGGGTGCGAAGTCGAACACGTCCCAATGGTGAGCGAGTACAGCTGATGTCCTCTTCCAGTACTCCAAGAAGAGGACAGACCAGAAGGAGACGAAGACGGCGAAGAAGACTGTGTAGCCATTGTCAAACAGATACGCCAACTGAAACAACAGCACTCCCAGAAGTAGTCAACTTAACTAGGAAATGACGATATTTTTGAGTTTAATAACATAGCTAGGCTCTTGTCACTGAAAAGGCCTCGTATTGATTCAATCCCAAGACCGACCTATCAAATTTGAGAAGAATGCTCAAAACTTTTCCTTTTTTTGCTGTTTGGGGTGCTGGGGAGTAAAATCAATCAAGTCGCCATAGCTTAGATAACGTATGAAGATTAAATTTAACCCACTTTACTAGCTTAAAACGACAATAATATACTCCCAGCCGTTTTTTTTCAACTCCCAAAAAAAAGAAATTTTTTATTGCAGTTCAAAGGCTTGCAACATATTATTTTCTCGATACAAATTTGAGCCCACGTTTGGCGGCTGGAATAAAACTTTGCAATGAAGAAACTTCTGCTGGCTAGATTTGAAATAGCAGGACGCACCCAGGAGTTGAGACAGTTCTCGGACAGTTTCCATGTTGCGCACGCGTCACAGAGGGGACACATGTTGAACGAGTTGTCTTCATCGCAAACCTGCTGACTAAAACGAACAAAAAAGTCAAGTTTTTTAGTCAATTTTTAATCCATCAAATTCATTTTTAATTTATCAAATCAAAAGGTTTTTTTTATCGATTTTAGGCTGAAGTTGAAGACTTACGCGACTGGATTGTGATTGAGTGATATTACACTGAGCACGAACACTATGAGACCCACTAAGGCAGCCGGCAATAACCACGCCGTGTAGAAACCTGAGGCGAAAAAACAACAATTTTTTATTACAAAAAGTGATACAGAATGTTCCGACCATACTCGGAATTAAATAAATATATAAAAAAAATTTGTTTAATGTATTTTTTTTAATTACTGATGAATTTTTGTGAGATAAATGAGTCGCGAGATAAATGAAACTAACGAAAACCCAGACTTTAAGAATATTCAACAGTCAGAATAAAATAGGCCAATCGAACAACGGCTTTAGTAAAAAAAATGACAAAAAAATGCTCGAAACTAGACTAAAACTCAAAAATTTTAAGAAGCCGGGTATTTCTAGACACTGGGACAACGTTTTGTAATTTTTAATGTCGTTCAAATCAGGGCTGAAAGGGCTTTAATATGATATATCACTTCGTTTATTACGATAACTACTTGCGGTAAATATTTTTGGTTGTAAAACAAAAGTAAACCTGCTCGGTCACCTTATTCGCTCAAATTTGGATCAAAAATAAAAAAATTTCAAACCGGTTTTTTCTCAACACTGGGAAACTTTTTTAAAAATCCTTTAGGGTCGTTCGAATCGCGACTGAAAGGGCCTTACTATAATATACACCTCTCCCTATTCCGATGATTATTTGTCGCACCTGTTTTGCGCGGAAAACAAAAAGAAAAACGAAAACAAGGATAGCCGTTGTTGTGCAAGTAGTACAGATCATCCGATCATATTCTAAAAAATACATAAATTACTTTTTCATGTTTTTTTTTCAAGTTAGTATTGTTTTTTTGCGAGTTGTGTGATAAAAGTATCTGACCAAAACCCTAATTTTAGTTAAATTTGACAATTAAGTTAATAGGTTTTAGTAGAATAGGCAAAACGAGCAACGGTTTTAGTAGAAAAAAGACAAAAATAAACAAAAAAATCAAAAAATATCTCAAATTGTTTTTCATTTTTTTGCAGTAATTGTTTTAAAATTTTGAAGTTTTTTATTCCAAAGATGGCTCTAAGAAACTTCGAAAATAATTCTCCTGGAGTTCAACTGAAGTTTCATGGCGTATTCTTCTATACTAAGTCTGCTCGCCTTCTTTACTCGCTCGAAATTCGACTCATCAGTCAAAAATTTTGAACCTTTTTTCTCGACTCTGCGACAACTTTTTGAAAAGTTTTTAGTTTCGTTCGAATCAAGGCGTTCAAAAGAGAGTCGTTTGATTTGATATATCACTCCACCCATTATGATGGTTATTTTTGGTTCCTGATTTTGCGTGGAAAAAAAAGAAAAAAAACTAAAACACCCAAATACAAAGTTCCTCCACATTTCCAATGGTCGGAAAAAAACACCAGGAGGACGTCTTCATTTAAACCTTGTATAGATCTAAAGTTCACGAGCTAATCTGTATTATTTATTTATCGAATCGTCGTTTTTTGTATACTCGAACAAAGGTCGCTTACGAAGAACTGTTGCTGCTTCCCCTTATACTGACCTAGCCATGCGAAGTAGATGGCAATCTTCTCCCCGAAGTACTCCCTGACATGGTCCAGAGGCTGGTACCTGTACCACATACCCCAACTGGCCCAGTACTTGTACAGGATCTGTCTCGCATTCAGGTGCTCCTCCGGCACAAAGTACTCCGGCAGGTGATAGGATCCCTAGAACAAAACGAGAGCAATTAGATGACAGTTGGCCATTGTTCTATGATGGTGAAATTACCGAAAAAAATTTTTTTTCCCATTCCAAATTTAAGGAAAAATGTTTAATTGGTTAGCTGAAAACTAACTTGAAAACGCTTCCAGGCCGACCAATGTTACAAAGTCAAAAATTGGAATGACAGAAAGTGTTAGTCCGGATAAAAAAAACTCAGTGAGCATTCAGAGAATATCATGAAGAAGAGTTACGTAATTTATCAGAGATTACGTAATTGCCTCCTGGATACCATAGTGTCTTACATCATGAGGTGGGTAGGCTGCTGTGAAGTACTTCTCTTGCACCATTCTGTTCACACCTATCTCGGCACGTGACCTCGTCCCATAGTACGTGTTCTGCAGGATCTCATACGCCTAGAAAACATTTCACAATAAGATCACACTAAATTTCAATAAAATTATTTTACTTGAAATGAGAACTAAGCACAAATTAAGTACAGCCATTAATGTCCAAAAATGTCAACTATCATTTTAAATGAAATGAGAATTAAGCACAAAATAAGTACAAGTAGTACTGTCAAAAAATGTCAACTATCATTTTAAATGAAATGAGAATTAAGCACAAAATAAGTACAAGTAGTACTGTCAAAAAATGTCAACTATCATTTTATTGAAGTGAGAACTATGCACAATATAAAAAAATCTCGAAAACTTTTTTGGCTTCTACAATTTGCGCATTTATAACATGGTGTTTTAGAAGAACTAGAAGCTTACTATTCTGATTCTATGTCTGACTGTGAAGAAGGTCTGCTGCTGGTCAGAGCCGTGATACCTAAAATCATCAAATATTTCACATTTTTAAACGAAAAACTCAAAAAACTATATTGTTTTTTTTTGTAAAGTTTATTGCATATTGTGACACATTTATGTCAATCTGAACAAAAATTCGATTGAAAAAGGACCACCGGAGAAGATTTTATTTCACACTGTTTTTTGTTTATCCCCAAGACCAAAATCAATGAAATGGAAAGTTGTTTCCTAAACTCCGGTTTTAAAAGGTTGTAAGGGGATTTCATGGTAATCTAATGTTGGACGCGTTGTGGTTTTGTTGTATGTAATGCCACCTGTATGTATTTTTGCAGGGGCGGATCTTGGATTTTCTCGAGGGGGGATGGATTTTCAAAAATTTTCGAAAATTTTGTCGACCTTTTTTTTAGGTCGACCAAATTGATTTTCTGATCACTATGAAATCACTATGAAAACCCCATTTTGACAAAAAATTTTGCGCCGCAGACAAATTTTTGAAAAAACAGGCCAAAAAAGGCGTTTTTAGGCACTTTTTGGAAAGTTTTGACCAAAAAATTGCGTTTTTTTTTGGCGCGCGCACCCCCTCAATATTATTCATATTGGCGCCAAAGGCGCCTTTTGAAAACATTCGAGGTTGGTTAGCAAAAAATGGATTCTTAAAACTATACCAAAGGGGGCCCTTTGAAAAAAATTGGAAACCAGATTTGAGGGAAGGGAGGGGGGGGGGGGGGTCGCTTTCCAAACCGGCCCCCCTCGGCACGCTTCTGGTGGTATTTAAGGTTTTGATATGTATAAAGAGAATTGCAAAGTGTTCGGATAGACAAGTTTAATTACAAAGAGCAATCAAAACATTTTGACAATCTTTTGCATGCAATTTTGTTTTTTAGGCAACCTGAGACACAATTTTGAACTAACAATTTCGAACTGCAAAACTTTATCAAAAAATTTCAGTTGCTCTTTTTAATAAATTTTTGTCTGTGTAACTTTTTGCTATTAATTATACGGATCGTGTTAACAGTTCACCCCCCCCCCCCCCCCTCTATTGCAAAAGGGGGGGGGATTCGTTACAAGGTACCACCAAATTCGAATATGCTTGACTGTTCAATTCTTTCTTTATAGGGGGGGGGGGGGGGGGAGATCTGTTTTAAGGTACCAAAGGGTGGGGGGGGGGGGTAGTTAACAAGATCCAATTATACCAATACTGACTTTGATATTTTGTCCTTTTTGAAGGGACAAGTGAAGTAGTCGGGGGGTCGGTGGGGGATGGAGGTGAGCATGGGGTTGGACACACAGGGCAGGATACGAGACCACAGCCGAGCACTCCACTGATGCGAGTCAATCTGAAACAATACCCGTCGTCACACCACACACTTTATAATTAATAAAAATAACCAAAAAAAATGCATGTAGTTCTTAAGTAGGGGCACAACACCGGTTCGCCGTGATGAGCTGTACAGCTCGTATGTTGGTCCATTCCCTCGTGGATAAAAGGTCTTAATGCCAAATTGTTGGTAATATCTTTTCGGTCAACGATTCTAACCAAGTTAATTAACCTAAAACTGCTCATTTTGACGCCTGAAATTAATTTTGTCTCTCCTTTGAGCACAGCACGTCAAAAACAATACAAAAAAGTCTAACTAACCTAAAACAACCGTTTTTTAACCGATTAAACTGCTCAGGGTCACCGATAATGCCAACAATTTGGAACTAACTATATACTTCTAGATTTGTTAGTTTCTTATTAAACACTTCTGCTCTTCTGAATGAAGTAACTGTTTTCTAAAACTATTCGCCTGATTTAGTTGTTTTTTATGAGTCAACTGCCAAACCTCAATCAAAAAAGTTAATTAAACTCGAATGATCAGAAACAATTTCAATAAATGCGAGTAATCAGAAACAGTTTGACATATTCGAATTACCAAAACCATGTCGACAAATTTTAGATAGATCGAAAACAATTTAGAAGCTTTTAGATTTTTAAAACAGATCTGCACCTCATTAATGTGCTCTTCATTAGCGTGCGTTTTCGGCGAGAAGATATTTTGCATAGACAAAAGGTTTGTCAGCGAAGCGAACAAAGAGGTATTTAAATATCACTAATTGGTTCCTCAAAAGAAGTAAATTGCAGCCTTTTTTGGTCTTTTCAAAATGTAGCGGTTGACGCAAATTAGTGAAGGGGGAGGATACTCAGCTAAAATACAAGTTCTATGCCATTACACACTTGAATAACCCAAAGTTAAGTGATGTTTACCGCATTAAAGGTTACCAATTGTTGTTTTGGGACCGTTTTTAAAACCATTCAGCTTAAGTAACATTTAAAAGCCATGGCAAAAGCATATGATTTTTGAAATGACGATGAAGGCGGCTTTCAAGGCAGGGGCGGATTTAGGGGAAGGGGGATTCGGGGGCGGATGCCTCACTTTCCTTTTTGGTTTATGACTTCCAATATGACGACCTACCCTATAGTTTTTGTATAGGCGCCTTTGGTGCCAATATATACTAATTTTGAAGAGGAGCGCGCGCCAAAAATGCGCGATTTTTCGGCCAAAATTTTTCAAAAAAACGCCCCAAAACGGCAGTTTTTCCAAAAACTTTTTCCAAACTGCTTTTTCAAAAACTTGGCTGCGGCGCAGAAAAACTTTGACAAAATATGGTCATTATAGTATTTTCGGAGAGCTCGAAAAACCAATTTGGTCGACCTAAAAAAAGTTGACAAACTTTTGAAAAACTTTTGAAAATCCGCCCCCACTCTCGAGAGAATCCGCCCCTGTTTCAAGGTATTTTCTGTTTTCCGCCACCTTCTGCTATTTTAGCAATCAATTTTGCAACCACTGATCCACATGTAAAAGATGTAAAAGCGGCTCTAACTAATCCGAACGCAACAATTGTTTACTCGAGAATTATATAACACGTATAACTTGCCCTTGTTGCAGAGAGCATTCTCGTTATCTATGAAAAACAAAATTGTTTTTATGAATATGAAAATGACAGTTGCGGGATTTTTTAAGGCAGTGCAATAAAAAAAGAAGTAGCAACCATTTTGTAGATGAAAACTTCTCAATAGTATCTGTGATCAATGTAAACACAAAGATGGTATTTCATCATCAGAAAATTTAAGAAAAATACACGAAAGTGCGAAAAAGAATAATGGTTAGGTTGATAGGTGCGAGAAGGCTAAAGGTCTTAAATTATACATAGCATGTTGAAATTTGAAACTATTGTTGAATTTTGGTTCGAATACACGCCAAGAGGGACTTGTCGGATTCAAAAATTGTCAAACAATGTCTTTTCTTGTTAAGTTGAAAAATTTGGGTGTTTTCGGAATTATTTGGTTTTATTTTAAACTTACCTCAAATTTATCTGTGTGAGAAAATGAAAATTTTGAAAAAAGATAGTTTAGTTGGGGGATTGCTTGATTGATTGGAAATCGTTTGGAGGTAACTTAAAAGATGGTGTGATAGCTGTGCTGTGATCGATACAATTAACACACCTGATGGTCGTAACATTGTTGTTTCTTGTCATTGATTTCAAACTTAATGCTCTTATATTGAATTCATGCTAGATTTTTTATTATGAAAAGAACTCTTGGGTTTCTTGAAGGTTTTTTGTTTTGATTTAGTTGAATTGGTTTTTTTTCCAGCCACAATTGTGGCTTCCCAGTTTTTCTAGGCTTCCCATTCCATTTATCAGAAATTCACACATAGATATCAAATTCATTTACGAAGTTAAATAAGCATGATAAAAAGAACACTTTTTTCTGATGACTTCAATTGAGAATTATGTTTGAAAAGTTGCCCTGTCTTTTTACTCCAAAAAAATTTTTCCACCATCTTTACCCTATACATTTGTACACCAAATATTTGCTGCCACACAAACTTTCATCTGTCTAGGAAGTTAAACCAATATATCAAATTAGTCCGCTTTAATGCGTTAGCTGAAACAGAGACTAAATGAAATGTATCCAGGTAATTCTCAAGTTAAGAGTCCAAAAACTTGAGCATTCCAATATAGCACTTAAAATTTGGTTGCTTATGACTAAAAATTTGACACAGACTCAATAATTCTTAATGGAATACGCTTCATTTCGTTATTTGTTTGCGTTAGTCTCAATTTTTTGAGGTTTTTTTTGCACCAACCCGGAAAAACTTTGAGCGCAAAACCTTAATTCACATTTAAAAATGCTGTTTTATAGCAGTTTAATTCCAGAGAAATCGCTTTTCTGAAGCGACGCTAGGTTGGGGGTCGGGCCTTAGTCTTCTTTTAGATCATGCGCTATTTCACCTTGAAATACCAAAAAAGATCAAATTAGTAAAAATGTTCTATCGTTGCCATTGTGATTGAAATATTGGAGCCAATTTCATCGCTCCATAACAATTTACATATTTTTATTTGAAATTCGAGGTCAATAACCAACCTAATTAGTAAATAAGTTTTTTCTACTTTACTGATTTTGTATAATTTTTTTTTTCATTTTTTTGTTCTTTTCCAGACATAACCAGCCTAAATAGGCAATTGGAGTTTTTAATTTCAATATATTTTTTTCAGCTATTCGCTCGAACTTTTTGAAAAACACCATATCTAATTTCGACCTGATTATTTAAACCAGATTGCGTTTTTCTAGTTTTTGTCTGATCTTTGTTCTCAAAGTAGCGACCAATAGCAATCAAAATTGAATTTCGCGATTAATAATACTAGCAACCCGATAACATTGAATAATATTATTGAATAAATTGAATAAAAATACTAACAACCGGATAAAATAAAACGAGAATAAAAATTTTTGGTGTGAAAATTTTCTAAGATGAAACTATATGGAGAAAAAAGAAGCAGGTTAAAACTGTGGCTTAAAAACAGACGGAATCTTTTTATAAAACACGCTAAACTGTTGACAATATTTTAGCCAACTTTCGTTAAGATATTTAAGGATATCAAAAATTGATAGACTTAGGTAGAATTTCAAAAAAAAAACATTTAATTTTTATATTTTTTCTTTGTTTTCAGCAGTTTACTAAAGATACGTTAAATTGCTACCGGAAAATCCAGAGCTGTTTTTATTTTAGTCTCTCTTCACTTTTGACACTCTTTTACTGAACCATTTTCGATTGTTACAACACTCATATTTCCTTATGTAATCTGAACCACTTTAGATCCATTTGCTGACCCCTTGACGTTTTATGTAATTGAGCCGCTCAACTTCCGCCGCACTATTATACATTGCGAGAACGTGGCTGTTTATGGACATAATGTATGGACATGTATGGACATAACCGCCTTTAAAGTGAACTAATCGCAAAGTCACCAAGGACATTAGTGTAAGCGAATAACTACTTTCTGTTAGCCGTTTTTTTTCTATTTTTAAAAGATGTTAAATGGATCTCGAAGTAAAGATTGAAAGCATATATCACTTTTTTATATCACAAAAAGTGACTTGTAACCATGAATATGTTGATGAAAATATGGCGGATAATAGAGTTACTGTATTTCACGGCTTAAGGGCCCTCTCGACTTATGATCTCTGTCTCTTCCCCCTCAAATCTGTGAAAAGTTTTCTAGTCAGTGAAGGGGCCTTATATGCAGTGAAACACGGAATTTAAAAAATTACAGAGTGAAGTGAAAAGATTAAGAAAAGTGATGATGACAGTTAGAGTAAGAGGATCTGTTTAGCTTTTCCCTCTTAATGGTAAAAGGTAAGAAGATTTATTAATAAGTACAATATTTGCAAATAGCATCGGATTTTCTCTTTAAAGATAAATACAATAGGAAGATGGCTGAAGAGATCCGCGAGTAGAAAAAAAAAGAAGAATAAACCAGATTGCCCTTTGTCCGTGAAATATTTATATCAGACTATAGACTGATAGAACTTACCCTTTCGGCATACGAAATGTCTTGTTTCTAAAAGAACCCAAATTATGTTAAACAACGTTTCACATTTGACAATCGGTCTTGAGAATGATTCTGACGAATTCTACATGGTATTTTAGGTTACCAACTCACAGGTGGCTTATGTTTTCATTGGACAACAATTTTTTTGTATCGACTCCCGCATCCAGTTTCAACCGTTAATAATCGAATATATTATGAGGTTAGTACCGGTTTCTAGTTCGTATGGTGTGCACAAAAAATCCATCATAATCGATAATAAACGATTATAATCCCTTTTGATAATAATCGATAATAATCGATTATAATCCCTTTTGTTTGCCCATTTGTCTCCGGCCTTGCGTCCGAATTGCTTATATTTTACGCTTTTCGTAGACGTTGTTTAATGTGAAGTATGAGAGAAAAGTTTTAAACGTTTACAGATCAATTCAGAAATTCATAATTTTTGAAGTTTTTTTCATTAGACTAAAAAAAAGAACAAAAAAATTATTTTCTTACTCAATTTAAATCCTGTTCTTCTTTTTTTGCTTTGTAAGTTATCTTCTCAGGTTTCGAGTATATATTTTTTCAATTTGCAGTCAGAAATCTTTTGCCAGTTGCACTGAAACCGGTCATTCTTGGTTATTGTTCCAACCATTTGAAAAATGTGGAGGAACTTTGTATTCGGGTGTTTAAGTTTTTTTCGTTTACCAAGCAAAATCAGGTGCCACAAATACTCTTCCCAATAAGTCGAATTATATGTCACATTAAAACATTTTCAGTAGCAATTGGAAAGACACTAAAAAATTTTGAAATTGCTTAACGGTTGGAATTTGTTTGATTTTTCGGTCTATAAGGTGAGCGTGCAGGCTTAAAATAGCTTATTTAAGCTAAATTTAAGCCGCGAAAACTTAGTTTTACTCAAGTAAAGCTAAATTTTAAATTTTTTGCGCTATTTTGGGACATCAAAATTTCAAAAAATCGAAAAATATCTACATAAAATAGAAAAAATGTTTAAAATTTTAAAAAAACTTTTAATGATTTGATTTTTTTTTGTTTTTCCAGTCATTTTCCAAAAAAAATTGTTTTCCAGATAACCTATTTGACTATGACTGTCTAATATGCCTTTTTTGTTTAGTTCTATAACTTTCTACGTATAAGAAATTATCTAACTTGCATTCTTTCAGCACGAGTTTGTTGTGAATTGATAAATCAATCATTTTGAACTAATATTTTTTAGCAATATTTTCTCAAAGTTGCCGCTTTTCAAAATGGTCCCAGTTTTTGCATGCCACCAAGCGTCGAATGGCACTTTTTGAACTGACTTTAATTGAACTCACCGTCACACCATGGATATCGTCATCATCTTGTGAAGCGAGCTGAAACAAATCGTGTTTTTATTGACTGACTTTTTTTTCAATTTCCATGTCATTGAAAGCTTAAAGCTTAGCTATCTTCATCTCTACCTTCGACACGGAGGCTTTTAAGAATTTTGGGACCCTTTCCAGTCCCTCTTGATTTTTTTTCTGAGATTCAATAAAATTCAAAAAAAATCAAAAACTATTAAAAATGACGTTTCATATTATAAACTGCCTTAAAACATGTCAGCGTGAACAATTGAAAAAAGTTCTACAACATTTTTTTTCATGAAAATGCCGTGCGAACAATTTTTGAAGAGCTATGTTTTGTTATTTTACGAGGGGGTGGGAAACTGGAAAAGAGCCGAGTTTTTTATGCCCCCCACCGCCTACCGGGTTATTGCAAAAAGATTCATTCCGACGTACAATATGCGCACATGCTAACCGCTGAGTTAGTCATTCAGGGGATGGAAATTCTTCACTAGGTACCATAAGAAGTGTGAGAGCTGCTGAGATCTAAAAGCGCTCAATCTAAAAGCATTTTTGTAAAACTTTTCTCATTTTCAATTAGTCGTTAGCCGGTTTGAAATTGATTTATGATAGTATTAAGTATCTGAGTTTTCGTGTATGGCCTTGTAGATAACTGTTTGTATCAACTAATGTTTTGTAATTTTTAACTATCCTTTTTTAATTTACCAATACTTTAACTCAGGTTGCCAAGATTTTTTCAAATTACGATTACTCTGTTATATATGTTACTTTTATTACCAACCAACATTTCGGCGCCAGAATGTAGCAATCTCGAGAGAGATAGCGCAGGCCCAAAAAAACGAAAAACAGCGTCCTTAGAATGTTTTGGGAGAGCTCGGAAAAGCAATTTTATTTCGACGACCATAAAGAATAGAAATTTTAGATAATAGAAAAATCTTTCGCCCCCCCCCCCAAAAAAAATCCTGCACACACCATTATTTTGTTGGCGTTCAAACGTCTCTACGCGTTCCTGCCCTATTTAATGCCTGATGTTATTTTGCAAATTTAAAGTCGATCTTTTTTTTGGTCGACTAAATTGCTTGATCTAAACTCTCCCAAATCACAAAAAAGACCAAATTTTGACCGCATTTGCGCTGCAGGCAATTTTTTGAAAAAAACTGGCATAAAAGACGTTTTAAGGTACTTTTTGGAAGGTTTTAACCAAAAAAATCAAAAATAATACCAAAGGGGGACCCTTTGGAGGGCCAGGGGGTCGAAAGCTTGAAGAGAGACGAGAATTTGCACCCGCAACCTCCCCCCTTCCCCCTTAATCCCCTTCTGGCTGTACAAATTTCATATCAACGTTCAAAAAGACTTTTAAAAGATCAGGCTTTATAACCATAATTCAAGATGCATGCAGTGACCTACTTGAAGTGGTGCCCGCATGTTAAGCTCCTCTGCATACAGACATAACACCTCAAAAGGAACGTGCACTTTGACGTACACTGTGCAATGCTGCTGGCCATCTTCATCTATTACCTAAAAGGAAAATTAATGTTTAGTTTTTTGTTCAGATTTTTTCCAGACTAAACTGACGTGGATAGATAACACTTGAAAAATTCTGAATTCTGTAGTCGGCGACACTGACGGGAGTGGGGTGGGGGTGGGGTTTTATGGGGGTGCCAACGTTTTTTAATCGATTCATTTTGGTACTATTCAACTCTTGGCCAACCGGTGCTAAATTGTTTGACATTTTTTTTAAAAATGAAACCATATTTATTATAAACAAATAGAAAAGAAAAATCATAGTACAAAGAACGCAACAAAAAAACGTAAATTATTTCGAACTGAACAAAAAAAGCTCGGAAAAAAAGAGCGAGGAACTAAGTCACCATTTTATGACTTACATTTCGCGGAAGTAGAAATATCTCTATGAAAACAACTTTCAGATAGGAGGAATAAGAACCGCACGCGAATATGCTTCTATTTGACGAACATGAGATTTGGTATAGATTTATGTTGTAATAGCTGATACTGACCTCTTCCAATTGTAGTCCCTGTCTTTCAAGTTCTGAGAAGAATTTATCCCTGCCCGCCTTCCTCCTCTTCTCCGTGTCTTTCTCACTGGTACTGCCCTTCGTCTCATACACCAACACGAAATCTTGAAAAAATTCAAAATATTTAAAAACACAACAATTAGAAGTAACAAGAGTAATCAGTTTCTGTGCAAATATCACAAAAGTTCAGAGCGCAGAATCGCAGAAAAAATATTCTGATTTAAGGAAAAATTTCGAGAAAAAAAAACAAAAAATTAGAAAAAAAATCTTTTTGATCAATTTTTTATCCATGTTCCCAATAAATTTTTTCGAAGTGCTAGAAAGAGTAGAAATAACAGCAAAACTAATTTTGAAACTAAGAATACATCTAAAGTCGTTGGAGATATATTCGTATTTAGTATGAAAACAGAAAAAAACTCAAAATTTTTTTGACTAATGAGTTTTTTGGAATCCAAACTACAACTAATAGAGCTATAGATAGCTAAGTGAAGAACAGTTTTCTATATTTTCTCTAGCCAAAAGTTTTTAGTTAATCGATTAGTTTTTTAAATTTCTTTGTTCAAGGTACAATGAGAGTATAGCCTAGATTTTTAAAAGTTAACTGTTTTATTAGACAAAATTGATTTAAAAGATTTTATTTGGGTTAATTAACAGAACTCAAATGCAGTCCTACATAAAAAAGTGTAACAACTAATTTTATTAGTGCGTTTGTTCAAAACGCATACGTATTTATACAGAGTTTGTTTTCAAAGCAATACGTTGCTAGGGGGGATGTTTTACGGTTGGTCACTTTGTGGGGAAGATTGTACGTTTCATCACAAAATTTCAAACCCTTTGAAAAAAATGTGAACGTAAGTTAATTGTTGTTCCGTCGTTCGAAGAAGGTGAAGGAAGATCTATGCTTGGGGTGTTTGTTACACTCAAACCAATTTCCTAATTTCGTATAAGTGACTTAAATTTACTTTTAAAACCTTCAAAGCTCTGCTCCGATTCAACCAGTTTTGTTGTTCCGACCACTGAAAATATGGAGGAAAACGGCTTTGGGTGAGCTTTAGTTTTAAAAAGTTTTTTCAGTGTTTTACACGCAAAATGAATCAGGTACTAAGAAATCATAAAAATGGGCCGATTGATACTTCATTTTAAAGCCTTCCCGCGTAAATAATCGATTATAACGGATTACTATGATGATTTTTTGACAATTATAATTGATTGTAATTACCAAAATTTGGTGTTTAAAGGATTTGTAATTGATTATTATTTTTGTGTCAATAAGAAAATCTCTAAATGAGAGATATCTTGAACACTTTGGTTCATCTGAACACAGAGTTTTACCTAAAAACAAAAGTTTCAAAGAGATCCTTTCATATTAGTGGAAAGATTACCTCGGTAGAAGAAAAATAAATCCTCCGAATCAATCATGAAACTAAATCAATATACTGATGTTTTGGTGGTTAAAAAGCTTAAAATTTGCACCACAAAACAACTTTAATGGGGAAGAAATGAAAAAAAAAACCTTATAAATATAAATTGATTGGAAAACTTTAAAACCATTTTTCTCTTTTTTCATAGGAACCAGCGTCTACAAAAAGCATAAATTATAAGCAATTTAGATGCAATTTCGAAGACAAAGTAGACAAACATAAGGGATTACAATCAATTATCATCGATTATAATGGATTTTTGTGCAAAACTAATGAATTAGAAACTTTGAATAAAAATAATGGATTATAATTGAACATAATTGTATCGAAAAGTGGACGAAAATATAATCTGAAAATTTTTTTTGAAAAAAAAATGTAGTTACAGTGCCTAATTCGTCATCAAATATGCCCAACTTCTAGGTTTTTGTTTTCATTTTCTTATACTATCAGGCAAAAAAGCGACACAATTTGGAAAAAAAAAACGTTTTTTGTTATCCTTGTCGGAATTTTATTCATGTCTTTCACAGCAACTGAATATCCTCGGTTTTTTATAATATTCTTTGCTTTTGTTTTTATGAGCCTATTTTAATAAAGTTAGCTAGATGAAATTACAATCAGTTGTGAGAAGAGTCTATTTTATGTGTTTATTGTTCCGATCGCTCAAAAGCGGAAAAGATTAACAGCTCATCTTTCCCTGTAGTAGTTTAATAGATTAATAAGTAGTTTTTACAGGATTTCAAGAAATTTTAATAAAATTGGTCGGGGATTGATTGAGGATGATATCCTTTGAATATATTGTCAATTGTGATTAGCCTTCCGAAAAATTATTTGAAAATAGTTTTCTCCGAGTCAGTTTATCACAAAAATTGAACTCTGAGTAATGTCGAAGTTGAAAAAAGATCACTCTTCGCTTCGACTATTAATGAAATCAATGACTAGAAAAAAAAACATTTAAAGTTTTTCTGAAGTGTTGTTTTTTTGTTATTCTTTTTTCGTTCCGTTGCCATTCAGCTTAGAGAAACAGGTTTTGGGAATCAAAAAACCAATCCTCTATCTGCAGATTATCAAAAGTTGATATATTGAAACAAAAAGAGTAAAAACGGTATATTTTCCGAAAAAAAATGGCTATTGTCAGGCTATAGATTTCAAAAGGAGTACCAAAAAGATCATCGCTTAAACCAAGTTTGGGTCTGTCTCTTCAGTGTTTTTTGCATCAAAGAAGGTTGCACATCCAAGTAAACATAAACTAAAATCAGTTTTATAATTTATTTGTTCTTTATTTAATGATGTCCGAAGAATAGAAAATCCACCTGCTATATTTGTTACATTGATTTTCCCAAGTCTTCGTGCAAGTATAAATAAGCAGGAATGCAGCTTTCGTTTTTTTATTTTAGTTTCAAATGGAATACTCACCTATTTTCCGCTTGTTGTCCTCGAAGTAAGTGGCCGGGTCTAGATTCCGGAACACAATCTCCTCCTTAAACAAAATCACAGCATGTTTCCCTCCACGTGAAGAGTTCTGGAACCTTCTGGTCCATTTAGAAAAAACACCCTCATTTCTATGACTACTCGATTCTGACCCGTTAGACGATGTCAGCTTAGCCGATTTTTTACTAGATGAAGTGAACCCATTTTGACGCTTTCGATTGGAAGACGATGGATGTGATAAATTGTTGCTACTTGTGCTGCTTTGCAATAATTGGATTCGTTCAGTGACCCATGATTTAAACCCTGCTTGCTGGGTTTGTTGCTGTTGCTGCTGATTATTTGTTTGTTGTCGTTGAATTTGTTGTTGCTGTTGGTTGTCGGAATGTAAACTGGAAGGCGTAATGAATGAGTTTCCATCAGCGAAGGAAACTTCCATTTAAAATATTGGTAGAACGGGTAAGAAAACACAACTCAATATCACTTTAAGAGCATACTTTCTTTGTTTTTTTTGTTGGTAAAGAAAATTTTGGGTAAGTAAAACTTTTTAACTAACCAACTTTAAAAATTTCTTGCGTTAATGAAATGTAAATGCACTTGTAATTCCTTGAGATTTTTTTGAAAACAAGGAACATCTTTCTTTCATCTTCTCAAAAGGAAATGCCTTTGTTCAATTTTTTGCTCAGCTACTTTCACAATCGCTCTGATAACTTTTTGGAAGACTAAATTGAAGGAAAAAAGAACATACATCGAAGAACTGATCCAAGCTTTATCAAAATAAAATAAAATATCTGTTTTGATAGGAGTCTTTATGTAATCAGCGCAATGAGAGGGGATGAAATTTCAAGTATGTAGTAAAAATTTGGGTTCATATTACCAGTGAACAGAGAATTACTACAAAGAGGATAAATTGAATTGACATAATCTGCAATCTCTAATATATAATCATTTCAAGAGTTTTTTTATTAGTGATGTACATGTTAAAAGTTTAGTGCTAAGCGCAATATTGGAAAAAATAGACTCAATCAATTTGACGGAACGAAAGCAATTTGTCAGATTTTTTAGGCCTTAAAATAAAACGTTTTTAGCAAAAAAATGGACGTTTTAAACCGTGTTGATTTCACTGGTATTTTTATTTGATGCAAAAGAGAAGATACTTTTTTCTTGAATGAACTGATATATGCTTATAGTTTCACATAAGCTATAAGCGCTGAAAAAACTGCTGATTTATTGGATCAATATAAATGTTTCAATCTAAACATACCAGCAAAATTCGACCGATGATCAGAATTAAAGGAGAATAGTGAACAAAAAGACTATAGCCATTTTTTGCTAAGCGTTCATTTAAATACACTTTTTTCAATGGAAAAAAATTCCTGCTGGTGTTTATCAAAAAAGGTGGAATGGATTAAACGTATGTCACTTCTGTCTAATTTTCTTTCAGACAATTTGCAGGTTTGAAGCACGAAAAAAGATAAGAACGAACAAGATTTTTTAAACTATTTTGAAGCCCTCAGAGAAAAAAGTATGAAGTTATGACAGCAAATTATAAAGGAAATGGGTCAAAGTCATAAATTGAAAACATGATCCACCCTTTTATGGAAGCGTTTGATCAAAGTAATTGATACTCCCATACGCTCCCAGGTGTAACGCACTTAAAAACCCCTTACGGCTTAAAGGTCAAAAAATGAGATATTTAGGAGAGTACTGAACAAAAAGACTATAGCCATTTTTCGCTTCGCTAAAATTTTTGACATGAAGGAGAGCAAAAGTTCCGTTGAGATTGCAATGACATCAAGTTTTTTTGTTTATTTTTTGCTTAAATTTTGTTTTATGATTCGCACTATTAAAATGTACAATTGTTTTATATAAAACTTACAGCTTAGCAGTTTAATTTCAGGCAGATACGTGGAGCTTGTTTCTAGAACTATTGGAGAAAGAGGTCGTGAAGTTATTTAGTTAATTTTAATTTGCCAGATTTTGGACAGTGATTGGTTTGAAAAAAAGGAAAATCCCCGACAGATATAGAACCGTAGTCTTTTTCAAGGTGAACTTCGCAGTATGTTATGAAATTCATGAGCACAAAATGAACTTCGCATGATAGAAAAAATAGCTATTCCTTATGCTGAATTCGTTTAAAATTTTTTTTATTCAAGGCACAAATTTTTATCAAAAACAATTATGTAAATAAAAGAAAACATTTTAAGGGTTAATTATGGCTATTATGAGTTCTATCGATTTTTTGCTCTCCAAAAATCAAAACCTAAAATTTCAACGGAAAACAAATAATCTGAAAAAAGAATGAAAATCATTTTGAACTAAGTAATAACAAAAAAAATAGTCAATTGTTTTCAAAACAAAAAAAATTTATGTTCTGTTAACCATGAACAAAAGATTGTTTGACTAAATGGGAAGTTAATGGTTTGACAACATAGACAACCATTAATAACAAAAATAACCAGATCTCATGGAGATTTTGTATTCGAGGAGGATACATTTTGCTGAAAGCTATAATGGAAAATTGTTTCAAAATAGGTTAAAAAATCTAGCAGCTCTAATTAAATTCTATTTAAACAAATCGTTGGGACCAGGGATGTTCAAAAATTAATTGCAATTGATTTTTTGAGTTTTTTCCAAGGCAATCAATTAATTGTAATGGGGTTTTTCTAGCAATCAATTATTGCAATTAATTGCAATTAATGGGCTTTCTCAAATAAAACATTTTTTTCAAGAAAACAATTTAATGTTCCGCTTTTTGAGGATGATTTATAACAAAATTCCGTGTCTTTTTGCCTCATAGTCGGCTGTTGTACTAGAGGATTAACAGACATTCTAAGCTTGCCGGCAAACGTTGATGTCATCAACTCACTGAAAAAATTTCCAGGCTATATTAGGCCTGCATTACTTATAATAGATGTTATTAAATCGTGTTATTATTGCCAATTAATTGCTTGCTTTACCATCAATTAATGGGTTTGGAAACTCGTAAGCATAACTATCGTAAGCTGGGGTCATTTAATAATTTGATTTTTTAAAATAATTTCACTTCTTTACTTCACTCATTGTTTGTTTACAGTAAGAAAATGCTTTTTGATTAAACAAAGAAGTTTCGAAAAATCATAGTTTTAAAATGGAGTGAATCTGGCTTTTGAATCCTCTGGACTCAATTCAATATGTCGCTTTTTTTAAAAAAAAATCTGCAAATTTTAGCACTTAATCAACGTATTTACAGCCAAAAATTTTGCTGTAAGTGTAAATGGTTGCTGTAATTGATAAAACTCGACAAAAAAAATTTTATCAAGAAAACAATCATAAAAATCAGAAAACACCTTCGGCACCAATCCTGCCATTTTACAGTAGTTCCACTCAAAACGTGTTGAAAATTGATATGACTATACGCATAGCGTTCTGCGTATGTGTTTTTTGTTCCGACATTCGAAAAACAATTGGAATAACTACGCTTAGTGATTCTTTTGTTCAGGCAATTTTAGGTGCGCGTCGGAATATGTTTTTAACCAATTTTTGTTTCATACCTTATTGAAAATATCGACTCCCTGAAATCAAATATAAAAAAAAATATTTTACATCCAATCAGTTTTGAAGATTTTAAAAGGAAAGTTTTATTTATGTTAAAAACGTAACGCGAATTAATTGTTCGTAGTAAATATTGTACAAATTTTTTTATTTTTCATTTTTTCTTTTCTTAAAATTAACATTTATTTTTGATATTAATTAAGAGACAAACGGAACACTCAGGGCTTTGCCCTGACATACGAGCAATCTTGTTACAAAGCAATAACTGCCGTAGCTTTGTGTTCAAATTATTTTAAAACTTAATCATAATTTTTTTATATTGCCGGAACAACATCACAGAGCAAATCAATTCCGATGCAGTATTATCACGCAGTTATAGAGTTTGAAAGGCAAATCTGAAAAAAATAAACCTGGACAGTTTTAAGCATCTATGTTCATAGATTCAAAATTAACTAAATTTCATAGTTCTGATTTATTGACGAGTGAGAAGTATCTTTTGATTAATGATTGCGCTTAAAATCAAAAGAAACGCTGAAATTTTTAAAAATTAACTTCAAATTTACCTGGAGTTGAATTTAAAGTTTTTTTGAGATGTGAATTAGTTTTTAGACAACATCTTTAATAACTTTTGCTCATTACAGTACTGTGCAGTACTGTGTTAGAAAAAATCTGGAAAACACTGCATTATTTTTCTCTGATTTTGTCTCCAATCAAAGTTATAGTAAAATGTCACAAAAAATTTGTGCTCTGTATTTTTGAAACTGATTTTCACAGATCAATCCGGTGTCATATTAGTCTAATTACCCTCTATCCAAATAAATAAATATAGGCAAAGAAATCCTGAACTGAAGGGAAATCATTGAATTATTTTAACCAATCAAGCTGATTACAGATTGTGCTACTAGATTGGTCACATTCATTCCATTAAAGGTGAAACTACCATTTACTAAGTGAAAAACACCAATGTATTGTTTTTCAATCGATGATCGATTTTCAATGCTTTTTCAATTTTTGAAAAACTTAATTTCAGAACGTTGCGCGACCGTCGCGATTTTCAGCACGTTACGTGTCCCTGTAAAATCTTTGTGCGATTACGAAATTTTGGTCGCGCAATCCACTCCGCGCTACCACACTCGGTTGCGACCTAAGCCGCTCAACTCGACCCGGGTTGATTAAAACCACCTATTTTCTTTGATTTTTTTGTTTTTATGTCAGAAATGGATAGCCAAATTGTTTGTGGGACCACTCATCTATACATGTTTTGTCTATCAAATTTTGAAACCAAATTTTAGAATAAGTATCAAGTTATAGAACAAGTATCTAAAATCGGTCTTTGAAGAAAAAGTTCGGAAGAATAATTAGGAAAAAACGTGGTCAAGAAGGTTTTAATAAAATGATAGCATCCTTGATCTTGTTAAAAGTTAAATTAGATCTGATTATATAACGTTGAATTATGTAACGCTGAATTGTATAATGCTGAAGTATATAAGACTGAACGGATGAGTAGAATTCAAAAAT